TGGGATTCTAAGTTCTGAGAGTGCAGGGTCTAGGTCTCTAATTCAACTCATTTTAATTCAGCCAACATTTATTAGGCTATTACTATATTGGGGGCACTATTCTAGATCCTCAGGATTCGAAGACAAAAATGAACCATTCCTGACTTCAAGGAGCTTACATTCTCCTGTAGGGAAAGAATATGTAAGTACATATAAAGTGGTTGTATGGATGTGTGCTACATATATAAAATATAAATATATGTTTGTATTATATTGTTATATGTAATGGACTATATATTGTATATGTTCTATATCATTTATGTATATAATATACCAATATGTTACATTGATATATATAATTGTTTTATATAACATTATAATATATAAAATATATATATTCTAATATAATGCAATGTGATATATGTAAAATGTAATGTAGCACAATATAATTTAACATGATAATATAACATATGATATATGTAATATATAATTATAATATAATATATATGATTATAATATAATTATAATACATACATATAATAATTATATATGTATGTACACATACATATATGTGTGTGCGTTATCCAAATAACACCCCTCTGGCCTACTCCTCCAACCAACTTGTGCTGGAACTTATGGAATGAGTCCCCATAAGATTGCTACTTTGTGTTCTAGGCATAATGCTTTGGATCTACACTCTTATCACTATAGCTCAAGAACCCCCACTGGTGGGTCTCTGATTATCAATCAGCCAGCAGATTTAATTAACTCTTAACAAAGGCATTTATTAAGATGGAATAGTAAAAAGACACATTCGCTCCATCTATCTACCTGAGGTACACTCTCTTCCCATAACTGTGGGAAACAACAAATACACAAATACACAAACATCCTGAATCACTGCATTCTCTCTCTATTCTGAGGAAAGAGACTTGAGCTTCTTTGGTGCCCCCAGGAAATACTTTTTAAAACCCTCAGTTTCATCAATGTGAGTGCTAACTCTGTTGACACAGGTCACAACCCTCTGTGCCTCAGGAGATGATCTTCAAAAGCAAAGCTTGGCAGTTGGAGGACATGGGGCAAAATCCCCACTCTGGTATTCTGTTACTTTGCATAAATCTCTTAACTTCCCTGGGTCTCCTTCATCTGTAAAATGAGGTTTTTGAACTAGTTAGCCTCTGAGGTCCCTTCCAATTCTAGAGACATGTGATCTAGATGGCAATGATGATAATTGTCGCTATGGCCCAAAATGTTGTCACTTGGAGGCCAGCATTCGGATGCAGCCCTCCAAATTTAACTAGTCTGGGATCCTATAACATGAATCTGTTGTACAATCTGCCATCACGGCCACACTTGGGGCCTTTCCAGCTTGGGAAAACCCACCGGAACTTGCATCCTTCTGGTATTACCTCCAGCCATGACAAAGCTTTAGAGTCAAATTTTAGAGGTGGTGGGCACCCAAAAAGAATGCAAATCGTAGTCATTTAATCTATAAAACTAATTTCTTGGACTGGCAGTCATGAGACCTTGGTTAATAGTAACAATAGTTAAGATAATTTCAATAACAATTCATGTCCATAGTGTGCCTTACATAAAACCACCGTACGGCTGAAAAGCAGTTTACATTCATCATTTCACTTCATCCTCCGCAGTAAGCTTTACATGTTATACTACTTGCTCATTTGGAGCCTAGGGGAGATATAATGGTCTTTCAGGCCCTTGTAGTTCCATCTTCTCATGTTTTAACTGGGAGGTCATCTTAAACAAAAAGTTAGGAATGCCATCTCAATTCTTCCAAGACACCAGAGAGGAAAATTCCTAACATTTAGGCAGAGGTTTAGCCCTGTGCTTTAGCTTACATGAATATTTGTGTCTTGTTAATCCCTGGTTGCTTTGCAGTTGAGAAAAAATTCAGGTTACTACAAACATTTGGGCCAGGGGTGGGGAAGCTGCGGCCTCAAGGCCACAGGTGGCCCTCTAGGTCCTCAAGTGTGGCCCTTTGACAGAATCCAAATTTCACTCAAAGGCCACCTGTGGCCTTGAGGCCACAGATTCCTCACCCCTGATTTGGGCGATGAGGCAGTAGTGGATATTACGATGTCTGTTAATAGACAGGCACCAGGAGGGGAAATTGGGCAAAGATCAGACTTTTTCTTAGAACTTCCCTCAGTACTTGAGGAGGTGGGTACAACTGAGGGCAGCAGCCTGAGTTTTCTGCTTCAGGAGACCTATCAGGTTCATGGCCCTCCTTGACCCAGCTCAGCCCTCCTTTCTCTTTCTCCTTTCAGAAGGAGAATGCCCTGTACTGTGCATTCTTTCACGCTCAGCTTTTGATGTCTATTCATTCCTATTTCTCTGCTGCCACACCTTTGAAATCTCTCATTATTCTAAACTAAGTTCTGAGAGGCCTTTTATAAAAGCTCCTTGGGACAGGACTAGATCCCTCACCCAATCAGAACAGAATTCCTATTGCAGGAAATTTAAATGTTATTGACTGATTCAAGGAATTATCCAGGCCTTATTCACCCCTGGCAAACAGTCAAGATGCGTTCTCTCTTGATAAATGTATCAGAACTTAGCCTCTGGGGGCTTGCTTTAAATGGAGTAAGTTTATTTTATTGATACCTTTCCATATAAGTAATTTCATTTAGACCTCACAACAACCCTATAAGGTAGGCACTACAGGTATTATAATCCCCACTTCATAAAGGAGGAAAGTGAGAACCAGAGCATTTAGTCACCAGGTCTTCCTGTCTCCAGCTTCAGTCTGGTAGGCACTAAGCCATTCTCTTTGGTAATACAGTACTACAATTATTCTTTATAGAGGAGGAAGCAGGCTTAGAGCAGTGATCTGACTTGTTGAAGATTGTATTGATGTAACAGTGTTGAGATATGGGTAGTGTTGTTATGCTGGGGGTAAGGAGGCTTAGTCAGTCCTTTCTTCTGGCTTGCCTTCTTGTTCCAGCTCCTCCCCTAGGGCATGACTTTCTTTCTAGTTAACTCCTCTGGCTTCGAGGCTCAAGCAAGGCTTGGTTTTCCTTACAAGCTAGTCCAATGAAGAAACTAGGGGAAGAGGAAATGGTCAAAAAGCCACCTCCCATATCAGTTATAGCCTCCTCCCTGCTATTCCAAACTGTTGATATGTTTGTCTAGAAACGATCTAGATTTCTGTTTTTTTCCAAATTGATCTTCCTAGGGCAGCTAGGTGGTACAGTGGATAGAGCACCAGCCCTGAAGTCAGGAGGACCTGAGTTCAAATCTGACCTCAGAACAAACACTTGGCACTTAACCTAGCTGTGTGACCCAGGGCAAGTCACTTAACCCCAATTACCTAAAAAAAAAAAAACAAATTGATCTTCCTGAAATGTAGGTCTGACCATGTCATCATTATCCTCTCTCCCCACCCACTCACTGTCCAGTAAACCGCAATGGCTCCCTCTTACCTTCAGAATCAAATAGAAAGTTCTGTCTTTTAAAGACCTTTATAACCTGACCCCTTCCTACTTTTTCTGTCTTCTTATACCTTACTCTCCTTCACATCCTCATTGGTCCAATGACACTGGCATCTCTGCTGTAACTCACACAAGACACTTCTCCTGTGTTTCTATTTTTACTGACCTTCCCTTATCTCCAGAATTCTCACCCTCTTCATCTCCCCCTTCTGACTTTCCTGGTTTCCTTCAAGATCCATCTAAAGTCTCAGCCTTCTACAAGAGTCCTTTCCCAGCTCTCTTTAATGCTTGTGCCTTCCCTTTGTTGATTATCTCCAATTTATCCTGTATGTAACTTATTTGTATGTAGTCATTTATATGTTGTCTCGCCCATTAGGCTTCAGATTCCTTGACCGGAGAGACTGTTTTTTGGCTTTCTTTGTATCCCCAGCACTTAGCACAGTGAATGGCACATAGCAGGTGCTTACATACTTGTTGACTTGCTGACATGCTCTTGGAAGTTCTAAAATATGAATCAATAATTCTCACTTGTTCAATTCTAGGCTCCTATCTGGATTTTCCTAGGGAATTATCATATGGCAGTTGTGAAATTTCCTTCTCTCTCATTCCCTTCTATTTTTTCTCTAGATTGCCTTTGCAAAAGGATACACACATTTATCTTTAAAAATTAGCCTTAAAACAAAAATACAAGAGAAAGCAAATTTACTCCAAAAAAAAAAATCTTGCCTCCAACAGAAATGAGGAGGCAGGGGAAAAGGGTGGAATCACTAGTCTTGGGTCTTCCCCTCTGAGCTCAGCAAAATCTGATCCACTGAAACATACCCCACAACCACGGAGTCTGAGACACTTTCTCAGATTGAGACTCTTTGTTGCTACTCTGCTTTTGCTTCCCATGGCAAGGGGAATTCTTGGTCTCCTTGAGGGCCATTTGTGTAGGCTATTTCCCAAAGTTTCTCCTGCTCTGAGGTTTCTTTCTGCATCTTCCATCAATTGTCCTTATAGAGTTGCTGGACCACAGGGTAGATTTCCTTACCTCCAAGTTAGAGATAACAGGTGGGAAGACTAGAACCTATGGTATAAGGGCTACTGAGCTCTTTTCTGGACTATTTTCCACCATTGGTATCCACCTGCCACCCAATTCCCCTCTGTGGTCCCAAGAAGCTGTAGAATGTGCAGTGGCCACACCCTGGTAAATGGTTTTGGCAGACAAGCTAAACCAGGTTGGAATAACTGATAGGCTTCAGACCCATCAGTGAGTTTGAGGTGTCTACTCCAAGCATGTGAAGACACCTGCTGATAGAATGGGCAGACGTGAACAATTTGTTCCAATGGGCCATGAAGGCAGTGGAAGCGGGCACTAAGGAGTGCTTAGAGCTTGGTTAGACATCAAAGACACCAAGTTCATCCACTACTACTACCAATCATCTTGACTTTTGTCTTGCCGCTGGATTTCAATGACTGTGGAATAGAAAGTGAGGCCAACAATTTTGAGCAACTCTGCCTCTCTTAAATCCAATTTATGCACAAGTCAAACAACATCATCCATACCATTTTACCATTTCTACCTACCTCAAAGTCCTGTGGTAATGGGCAAGTGACTGAAGCAGCAGGTTTGGATACACTGGGAACCGTAGTCACAACCCTGAATACAGATGGCCCAGGCCACAGGGTCAACTTCTCACTGGACTGGAGTAGCAGTGAGATTCAGCAGCCCCCTGAATGTCCAAGCAGCCTTTTGTAAGGATGCACCACTCACTTCCTGGAATGAAGAAGGAGGTAGAAAAGATGCCCTGAAAATTGTCCGCTTCACCTAACCTAACCCTGGCCTGCTTACCATGGCAGGTGGGGATCCTATCCTGAGGTTGAAACACACACACACACACACACACACACACACACACACACACACACACACACACAATTTATGAAGACTTTTGTAAAGATGATTCCACACACCACTGGTACATTGAATGTATACACACTTATGGACAACATGAAATCTAGTAGATCTGAAAGACAACAGCTCTTGCTGCAAGAGAACTCAACTGGTATCACATCCAAACAGCATCCCTGCGTGAAAAAAGGCTGGCAAATGAAGGCCAGCTTACCAAAGCCAGAGCTCAATACGTGTTCTTCTGAAGTGACCACAATGACAGGGAGCATCATGAAGCTGGCAGAGGCTTTGCCACCAAAACCAATCCAGTCAACAAGCTCGGACGCCTCCCAAAAAGGGGCAAACGACAGGCTCGTGACAATGTGATTGCCACCTTCAGGAAAACACCTTGCCTCTATCATCAGTGCATATGCTTCCGCCGTGACGAACTCTGACAAGTTCAAAGACCTGGAGACCCTCAGCATCAGTGTGCCAAAAGAGGACAAGCTGTAGTTCTGGGTGACTTTAATGCCAGAGTAGGCACAGACTATCAGACATAGCAGGGAGTCCTTGGGAGGAATGGAGTTGGAAACAACAAGGCAACGGCCACTTACCACTGAAGACTTGTGCAACTCATGGCCTCATCACCAACACTTCTTCCATTTTGGATGCACCCTGGCAGCAAACATTGGCACTTAATAAACTATGTCATCATAAGGAGAAGAGACAGACCAGATATGATAGTAACAAAGGCGATATGTGGAACAGAATGCTGGATCAATCATAGACTTATCCTTTCCAAGCCAAATATTCACATTCAACAAAAGTGGTGGCCCAAGGCAAGACAAGAAGACTTAATGTCAATAGATTAAAGCCCTTCTCTGAGTGTGAATAGTTTGTTGCTAACTTGGAGGGAAAGCTAAGCCAACACATGGTTGGCAACAGTGGAGCAGAAAAGGAGTGGGCAGCTTTCAGAGATTTGATGCACAGCACTGCATTTATTCATCTGGGCCAGAATACTCACATACATCAAGACTGGTTTGAGAAAAATGATGAGGAAATTCAGAAGCTGCTAAATGAAAAATGAGAACTCCACAGGGGTTTAGTTCATCCATCTCTAAGAAGGCGGTTTCAACTCCATCAAAAGTAAAGTATAAATAAAGCTTAGAGAGATGCAAGATTCTTGGCTCAGTAAGAAGGCAGATGAAATTCAATTTTCCATTGATAGTAAAAATTCAAAGCATTTTTATGATGCCCTGAAGGCTATTTATGGGCCAAAGATCTAACTACCCAATTATGATGGAGCCACATTGATTAGTGATAAGGACACAATCCTGAAGAGATGGGCTGAACACTTCTATTCTCAAAAGACTGTCATCGATCAATCCTGAAGCCATTGACTCTACACCTCAGGTGGAAGTCAATCCTTTTCTAACCAAACTTCCAACTGATGAAGAGGTTTTGAATGCCATTAGGCTCTTCTTGTGTGGAAAAGTGCCTGGTGCTGACTCTATTCCAGCTGAGATTTACAAGGCAAGGAGTCCACTGCTCATACAAAAGCTGACAGAATGGGGCAGCTAGGTGATACAGTGGATAGAGCACCGGCCCCGATGTCAGGAGGACCTGAGTTCAAATCCGGCCTCAGACCAACTACTTGACACTTACTAGTTGTGTGACCCTGGGCAAGTCACTTAACCCCAATTGCCTTTAAAAAAATTTTAAAAAAAAGCTGACAGAAGTCTTCCAGGTTATAAGGCAAGAGGACATTGTCCCCCAGGAGTTCAAAGATGCTTCATTCATCCATCTCTATAAAGGAATAGGAAATAGGTGGTCCTGCAACAATCATGGGAGGGTCTCTCTCTCAGCATTACCAGTAAGATTCTTGATGGAGTCCTCCTTAATAGGCTGATCCTTCACCTGGAGGATGGTCATTTACCTGAGAACCAGTGTGGCTTCAAAAAGGGATGAGGAAAGGTCAGTATGGTGTTTGCTGTCTGACAACTCCAGCAGAAATGCCAGGAGCAGAAGACAGGTCTATATACAACATTTGTCAATTTGACCAAGGCCTTTGACACTGTTAACCATGAAGATTTCTGAAAGATCATCGCAAAATTTGGTTGCCTAGAAAAGTTCATCAATATTGTATATCAGTTTCATGATGGCATGCTTGAGCAGATTCTGGATAATGGACGATGCTCTCGTGCTTTCACAGTCACCAATGGAGTGAAGTAGGGCTGTTTGGTCACTCTCATTTTTTTTTTAGCATGATGTTTTCAGCTATATTGCCAGATACCTTGAACAAGGAATAACACAGCATCAAGGTCAACTACCACATTGATGGTAAATTATTTAACTTGAAAAGGCTGCAAGCCAGGATGAAAGTGGAAGGAAAGTTGGTGCATGACTTTTTGTTCACAGGTGATAGTGCTCTCAATGCAGCCTACGAAGCTAAGATGCAACAGAGTATGGATCACCTGCCTCTTGTGGTAATTTTGGCCTGACAATTAATACCAAGAAAACAAAGATTCTCCACCAGCCAGTACTACACCGTCCATACAAGGGACCATCCATTACAGCAAATGGAGAGATTTTAAATGCCATGGATAAAAGTCCACGTCCTTTGGCAGTATATTTTCCATGGATATACATCTAGATGATGAGGTTTATACATGCATTGCCAGAGTTAGCTCAGCATTTGGGAGGCTCCAAAGGAATGAAAGTGTGGGAGAAAAGAGGTATTAGGCTGCCTACCAAACTGAAGGTCTACAGAGCTATTGGGCTGACCTCATTTTTGCTTGCCTGTGAAACCTGGACAATCTGCCAGTGTCATGCCCAGAAATTGAATCGCTTCCATTTGAATCACCTTAGAAAGATTCTGAAGATCACCTAGCGAGACAAGGTACTGGGCACTGAGGTCCTTTCTGGAGCTGAACTGCCAAGTATTCAAACTCTACTACAGAGAGTGCAACTCGGATAGTCTGGCCATGTTGTTCAAATACCAAATATATGTTTGCCTAAAGGACTATTTTATGACAACTCACACAAGACATGTGCTCACATGGTGATCAGAAGAAGCAATACAAGGATATTCTCAACGTCTCCCTGAAGGATTTTAGAATCAATTGTGAGGCATGAGAGACTAGCAACGGGCTGCCCAGCATGGCATGCCCACATCCAAGAAGAAACTGTGTTCTATGACCAAAGCAGAATTGCAGTTGCTCAAAAAAAAAAAAGTGAGATGCACAAATTTAGAGACATCCACTCCAAGTGTCCACATGAACTATTTGTGTCCAATCTGCGTTAGAGCCTTCCGAGCTTATATTGGTCTGATCAGCCACAGCTGGACACACCGTAACTTGACCCCAACGTAGTGATGTCATTTTGGTCCTCTTCAAGCACAAAGGACACAACCAACGAGTCAACCAGCGAGGTGACACTGGGCCTGAAATCAGGAAGAACTGACTTTAAATTGAGCCTCACACACTTACTATTTGCATAACCCTGAGTAAGTCATTTAATTTCTGTCTGTTTCCTCATCTGTAAATCAGGAATAATAGCATCTACCTCCCAACTTGACCAGCAGTGGTTGGCCATCTCTAAGGGGCATTACACCTCAAGGCACTACTTAAGTAAGTGGCCGCACTGGGACGCAAAGCCAAGTCATCAGACCCCAGGTCTAGTCCTATATCCATTATCCCCCTCCATCCCTAATAAGGAACCATCATAGGTTGTGAGCATGAAAGTGACAGGACCCAAGTGGCATTTTAAGAAGACTAAGGTCATGTTCAACAGCAGTCATGAGATTTCCTTTAGTGCAGCTTGCATTTCCCCCATCTTTAAACTTCCAAATAACCATACCTCTATGAGTACAGAAAGGTGTTAAAAAATACATGGCATTCAAATTCAGATAATCTTGGTAAATGAGTCACGGAATTTGCAGGAAAGATAGCCTATATTTCTCCAAACAGAATTATCTCAGACCTGAATAAATATTGGACTCGGTTTTAGCTGTGTCCCTATTGCTAAAAGAAAGAGATTTGAAGCAATTACTCAGATAATTCCAATCTTGTCTCATAAGTACCTAGAAAAAGAATCAGTCATTTAATTACTGAATGTAAGATGGATGTTCCTTCCAAAGGTTTCTTTTTTGCAAAGGGGCATTCCTGGGGTTTTCCTTACCTTTCACAAGTGCTGTTTCCTTGAGTTGCCATGTTCCCCATAGAAAAATTCCCAAGAGGAAGACAAAGAAATTGTCAGCTTGAGGGAGGAAGTATTTCTTTTTGAAATGAAAATTTAAGGTCAAGGTCAAAAAGAATCTCATCAAAAGTCATATCCCTAAATACACGTTACCACCACTTAACTCAGCTGGAAACAGAGAAAAAAAATGGTCTGGAACCTATCAAATGAAGGGTTCATTTCCATGAGTTGTAGCTGATTGCTTTTACTTTCAGATCTAAAGCTCTTATTGAGGATGCAGCTGCTAAGATATTTTGTTTCTTTTTTTTTAGGGGGGGAGTTGTTATTTTTTCTGTTTGTCACACCCACCTTAGGAAGAAAAGGAAATGGAAAATCCTAACAGCTTACTTTTGTACATCTTTAAACAGTTTATAAATCACTTTTACATCCATTGTTTGACTTGATCCTCAGAATAACCCCATGAAGTAAGAACTATTTTGGCCTTTGTATGGGTGGGTAGATGAAGGAGCTGACTTTTAGATTAAGTGACTTCTTGCTGAAGTTCACAGCTTTTGAGTGGTGGAAACCAGACTCAAGTTTAGGTCTTCCGACTTGAAGTCCTTCTTTCTCCACCATCCTTCCAGAGAAAGTTATTTCTTCAGCCCATCTGTAGAAGTGCCAAAGAATATCAGTTCCTGAAGTATGAATTTTTATCGAGAATTACAGTGGCGGCGCCTTGTAGTAAGTATCTTTCTTGTCCGTGCTTGGAAGAAAGACTCTAAAAAGTCCCAATCACAGCCTATTCCTGTGATCTGCTTGTCAAATTACCTATAATGAACATCAAATCAGCACATCTGATTGCAGTTTTAATTGATTCAAAAAGAATTGCTGATTGCTTACTATG